GGAAGCTGGTATTGTGAGCCTGTGAAGTAACCTTATTACTTATTATCCTAAACGTCTTTAGGCATGGAAGCTGGTCTTGTGAGCCTGTGAAGTACCCTTATTATTTATTATCCTGAACGTCTTTAGGCACAGAAGCTGGTATTGTGAGCCTGTGAAGTAACCTTATTACTTATGCATGCACTATACTATTCTTGTACCCGCACAATGTAGGCAATATCAGCCTAGTATTAGTAGGACACACTAATTCTCCTGTTGAATTCAGAAAGAGTACACTTTGCTTGAAATATGATGGAACTGAATCTTTACATTCCTTTTACTATTGATCCATATATCATATAGTCCAATTACAGAAGAACTTCTTGTATATGATACCATTTGCTTCAGCAATGTTCCAATGTAAGCCTGTCAATGACTGCAGATATATTTTAGACAACTGTGACAAATCCAAAGTTACATAGCTTTTTTTTTCAGTCTTTTTCAACATTGACTTCTTTCACACTAAACTTTAGGATTGTACAACCTGTTGGAGTATGTTGGGTTATATCATCAGTTTAAGAATACTAGCCAAATCAGATTTTTTGTTCTATATGAACACAGGCTAATAATAGTTGCAAAGATCTTTGACTATTTTTAGGTGATCTCCCATGAAAGAAATTTTCAGGTTAATAAATATTATAACCATATTCAATAACTGACCATTTCTTGCTTCTATCATCCAACATCACAAGATATGCAAGAAGATGGGTATTATTAGCTCCCATTTCTTAACAGTGAATATGACAATACCCAACACACTTCTCTGACAGCGCTTAAAAGATTGGATTTCTCTTTATGATACTCAATATATCCCTTCTGCAGAAACAATGGCATCTCGATTTTCACACCTAGTACATGAAAGAGAACTAGTGCATCCCTAAGATGGAAATGATATTGTTCTGTTCTGTCAAAAGTTCCTATGCAAGAAAATGCATATTGTTAGGTGTCAGTTCTCAGCAACTGATATGACCAAATCTAAGATATACAGGAAGAATATTGCTCAACCAAGTAGAATAAGCTAAATGTTTTGCTCTTTTTGTACAACGATACTATTTTCCAAACTCAGAATTGTAGACAGAATTTTATTGATTACTCGGTATAGAATTTAATGAGGAGAGCCCCCAAATAATTTGTACAGATTCAATGCAGATATTCCTCAAAGGTGGAATGGAATTCTGAAAAACTGGGACTTGGTCAGTCCCATCAGTTAGCTTGTGAAGCCTAAGAAGGTCTCTTCCACATGTTTTGTTTAAAGACAGATCACATCTATTCTGTAACAGTTGGTATGGTCTTTCATTTTTGGATCTAACACTTGGCACAAATTGGATGCAAACTATTTTCTGTTTATGTTGACCTTTCCAACACTAGGCTCCAGCATGGGTGATAGTACCATGCATAACAGGTACTTGAGTTTATGCTTCAAGTGGTAGAACAATCAGTTGAGTACATTTTAGAATGATTGTTACCTGTTGATATGATCTTCAGTATTAAACAGGATTTTTACAGTTAACTTGCTCAAAATTGTATCAGGAGCTGAGTAATTTAGATCATTGATCAGTTTCACTGTCACATGGTGGAAGATCATCAAGTGCACAACATTTAGAACAGTAGTTCTATAAAGGGAATTACCTACAAATGCCACTATTTTTAACATTTTTCTTATTTTGAAAGTATCTTTTCACTTCATCATTATGTGTTTCGGATAATCACCTACCCCTTTAGGTCCTTAATTCACATGAAATACTGTAAGACGCATCTGTTTTTCACTGACATGGCTCTCTCATTACTTCCGATAAGGTACTCTCCCTCCACTCACAAGATTAGCTTTTCAAAAATCATCACTGGGAGCAGTGTCACAACATTTTATTGTTGTGATTTTGTTTGCCAGTCTCCCTTAACTTTTGATAACGTGTATATGAAGTTTATCACTTGTTAAAAGTAGTTTTATATAATTAAATAATCAATTTTGTATGTTCATGAAAGTTAAAGTACTGTCAACTTATGATATATAAGAAAATATTATTATTTCCTAAAATATATGTACAACCAAATCTTGACGCTTCATGAGAAAGAAATTTTTTTTTACTTTGATTAATAAAAATGCGTTTATTATCACCTACACGTGAAATGCTCATTTCTAGAGCTAATTTCTCATGTACTTTTAACTTCTGTTGAGTAGATTTTTATCATTAAATTTTTTCCTATTGGATTGTATATTGATGGAAAAACAATCTCATCTCAGAGTGGAATGTGTGTTCATGTGCATATCCATTGTTTACACATGTATTATTTTACAGTTCATGACTTGGGCAGCTACAGTACAGAATAAAAATGTCTTGTATTACAAAAAAACGTTTCTACTATTGAGGGAAAAATCATTTCTTTACAAAATGACAATGTGTAGATGAAGTTGCATTCTCATTACTTGAATTCTTAATGTATGTATTAAGAAGATATTGAAAATAATTATAATTTGTACCAAGTTTTTTAAGTTTGATTGTGGTCCACTATATCCATATAACACTATGGCTGGTTTTCATTTCATTGTAGAAAAATTGTGAAAGATGTTGTTACTTTTCATGTTGTTAATTTTACTGGGTTAAAATATATCAATTTAAAAATGTACAATAATGTAGAAAATACATGTATACCATCATAGTCAAATATTTTCTATGTAACATTCCTATTACTGTATAATATATAATACTGTATGGAATACAACAAATAATCTTGTATTTGAAAAATGAAAGTTTTAGAGAATTTCTCTAGGTATCCATAATTCTGTAAATCAATATTAGTACTTTACACATATGTACTATATGAAACTCCTAAATATATGAAAGTGTAAAGAAATATGTACAGTGTATGTACAATTGCATAGAATCTCCTCACTTCTTGATAATACTAATAAAATTACATTTTTCAAAAAACTTCATTGTCACTTTTTATTTCAGGAAAAACAACAATTATCAGAAGATACACAGAAGGTATGTGTTACAGTAGTAATTTGTGGATTCTTATCTTAGGAAAACACTTGAATTTTAACTTGAAAAATACATTGAAAGTTGATTGAAGAGAAAAAAGTTATTCATAGATATACATTCTATGACTTATTGTACTAAACATTTCCCACAAATTTGTGAACAGTACTTGTGTATCTGTACAGTTAATGTTGTTAGTGTCAATTATTCATATCTGTGTGCATTATTCTTCATTGTGTTGTAACATAATATGAATTTTTATCTTATTAGAATCACCTTACCAAAACAATGGTTTTAAGTTGACTTGTTTTGAATGTTTTCTGGATGTTAACTGTTTGTATTTATTACAAAGGTTTCTTCCATTCCTTGTTTATTCATATTTGAAGTACAACTAAAAAGAAAACTTAACTACAGTAATGATCACTGAGTATTAACATAAAGTTTAACTTGAAGTTACAAGTTTTCAAGTAAATCCTCTTCATATAGCTGTTACTAATTAAAAAAAAAATTCTTTGCAGAAATATTTTTTGTTGAAATAAGTAAATTTTTAAAGTAGACATTTGAGGGGAACTAAGTTCAATAGTCAACAGAAATAACTAACTTTCTATATTCACAATATTTGGTCTGTTGCATGTGATGTATGTAAGATCAATGATGTGTACATTAGTGTATGCATTATAATGTATGATGCTCATATACAAGTAAAGCTGTAGTGAATAAGATACATTTTATGCTCACCAATACTATTGTATTTAAAATCAGCTAATTCCAAAATAATAGGCTTACCTCTCTGTACACAAAAGCTATTCCTTGCATATCTGCCTTTGAGATTTTGCACATGCCACTATTCTCAAGCTATCTGCCACCTAAGATGCACGTTATCATGTGAATTTTGCTTGTGCACGATATAATCATCATGCAACAATAGCCCTCCACCAATAGTATGGTTACGTACTCTCCATAAGCAGTACATCCCCATAAGCACTTGCACTTGAAATTAACTTCCTTCTTATACTTGGAACTGTCTTTCACAGACATGAATGTTTCAGTTTAAAGAGATTTTGTACTGATTTTGAGATTTGTACTGCCTTTTTGCAGTGTTAACTTTGTTAGGCTTCCTTTTAGTTTGTTTTAACTTCACTTCCATACAACATTGCCATTAAATAACTTCTAAAATGTTTGTTTTTTTACCTGGAGAATTGCTACAATGACCATGAATTCTCAAGTGAGGGAGACTACTATCTACTCTCAAGGTTCTGATGATGTTGCTAACACTACCCTTACTTTGTCTGTAGACACTGGAGGTTCTTTGACTGTGGAACTTTTTCCTGCCATAGTTCATCATATCATTGGTTATTTGATGCCTTTTTGCTTTTTTTTACGTATTGAGGACAGTGATCCTCCTCCAAATCTTTCTGTGGATTTGATTACTCAGTTTTTTCCTTTACTTTCCATATATCCTCTATCTTTTGTTTCTTCCCATTCCTTGCTATATGACTCTCACACTGAGAATTATTTGATTTTTCTCCTTCTCTTGTCATACAAATCCAAGTTGACTAATTTGTGGATCAGCTTTGTTCCAACTTTCAAATGCCTCATCTCCAGAATTCCTTCACCATGACTTATGACCATTCTCTTTTTCAGTTCTTGGAGTCCTTTCTACCTGGTTGGGGGACTGACCCTGTCTTCAGTAACACTGTCTAGTACTTAGTTTTCTTGTCTTTGCTTTTTTCTTACCCATCTTCTTCTTTACCTATCCTTTTTTCATCTCCTATCTGAAGCCCTACATCAGCATCCCAATAGTTTCTCTGGGAATTTTTAATCAATCCTTTTCAATATCTTGGCCAGGGTTTCATCTTGTGCTTTGTTCCTGCGTACTTAGTTCCTCTGTAGTTGGAATCTCCTGGGATGTGACTGTCTTCTCTCTACCATTCTCCATCCCCATTCTTACCTCTGTGATCTCCATCTGGCTCTTTTTCTTTGCCCTGAAGTCTTCAGGGGTGTTCCTAACACCTTCAAGGTTCAGTTCAAAACTACCTCCCTTTCTGCCGTGGTTTCTCATCTCTCACAACCCCGTGAGTCCTCTGCCTCTCTCTCTTTTCTTGTTTTTCATTGCTATACCTCTTCTTGCCATCCCTCTCCTGTCAAGTTAGCTATTGCACATTCCTTTGGTGACTCCCTCCCTTTGTACCCAGTCAGCTTAGGCCCTGTAGGGGCATATCTGTTCACAGACTTTTGACCCCTTTTGTAGCTGACTGGTGTGTCATTCAGATTCTTACACATGAACTTTATCTTCACTTCTTGTCTTTTCATCCTCTGTCTTCTTTTCTTGTTCCTTTTCCTCCTCCTTCTCCTAATACTAAGTATTTTCTGTATCTTTAGTCCATGTTATAGGACTTTTAGACATAAGAGGGTCATTTGCCCCCTCTCCTGAGTTTTATTCTCATTTTTCTTCCCATCATTGACCCTTCCTTTTTCAACCACTACCTGGTGGTTCCTTGTCAAGATAAAGGAGTTTCTTCCTCATCATTGATTCTTTCCCCCAGACTATGAATGATAGTCAACATTTTCTACCCCTTTCTCCATATAACTGACAGAGCAAAAGATATAACAAAAGGAGCTAGCAGAGATGCAGTTTTTGTAGTGCATGTAGGGGCTAATTATGTAAGGAAAGGTAGGTCAGAGGAGCTAATTAATAACTATAAGGGGTTGATAAAGGCACTTAAAGAAAAATGGCCATAACTTAATTTTGGCAGGGATAGTGCCCAGAATTAACTATGGGGATGAAGTTATAAGTAGGTCATTAGGGCTAAGTGCTAGGCTTAGGTTAGTATGTAAGGATAAGCAGATTGACTGGTTGGACTTGTGGGATCAGTTCAGTGGGAGAAGGGAGCTTTTTGCAATAAAGGAATGCTAGTATCTGATGTTTATGAGATGACTGGGTTAGAATGTTTTACTTTTTCTTTGGTTTTTACTAATGAAGATTTAAACAGTATTCCACATCTTGATCACTTGATAAATGGAAACGAGATCAAACAAGATGACTGCATTAATTCTGAGCTGGTTAAGAAAAAATTGGAAA